GAAAAGATGATATCAGATTGGCCATGGGGTGTGATTGTGGTTGGCTAAGAACCTTTAGATTCTATGAGAGAATGAAAGTCTTTGATTATATAAAGTCAAAAAGAGGGAAAACAAAGAAAATCTGGGAAAGGAAAATCCATAGAAAAAGTCAAAACAAAACAATGTATCAAAGGGAATGTATGATTATGAAATGGTCATACTATAACCTTTAAATGCAAGAACAACATTTGTGTGGTTCACGGGCTCTAGCACTGTATTCATAGACATATGATTCCATTCTGGCAAATAGAGTCTGTACTATTTATATGATCAAAATAAACCTGATTTTTTTCATATTTGGATCTAAAACATAAAAACATACAAAAAAGCTTCATATAGTACTTTTATTATGTATGTGTATGTGTATATATACACATATTTATTTGTATACACACACACACACAATCATACATACAGCCCTGATCCAAAAATTCAACTGTATACACCTGGGTATTATTATGTGATATGTATATATACTTATATTATCATTATCATTCATATTATTAGCAATAATTAATACTTATTACATAACAATTAACATATAATAATGAATAAAATTGTAATAATATATAATAGCCAACAATATTTTAATTATTAGCAATTATTATATTAATTCATTATATGATAAATATATGATATATACTTGGATTATTCATATCCATACACAAATATATATATTTATATACAAGAATCCTTAAAATACAACAGAATCTTTTTTCATAAAAGATAGTATCCTTTATGAACCACAGAGGTAGTGACATTGTAAGAACAAGAAAGAATTCTACCTGATGTTTCAATAAAATTATCTTAAACAAACATAATAGTATAAAGGTTGTTTATTGATTATTAATTTTCAAAATTAAACTATAGGTAACTTAAAATTACACAAATGAAGTAGCACATTCTCTTGACCTAGAAGGTCAATAGAAAAGGCAGAGATGAGTGGAAATGAAAGAGAGCAGTTAGTTCCTTTTCTTTTTTTAAGATTTCTATTTTTGTAGATGCTGCAGCAATAAATGGAGTTTTAGGTACATTTCATGTTGTAAAGGAAACTAAGGGAAACATTGAGATCAGCTATATCTGACAGTGAGTATTTGAGGAATAGGAGGTCAAGGTTGATGATGTTTGTATGCTTGAGTCAAAGCCATAATTATTGCTGCAGAAATCTAAGGTAAAGTTTAAAACTTACAGATCAAGACACTATAGTCTTAAAGAAAAAGACTATATTAATGTTGCAAGCCGCATCTGTATGCACTGGCCACATGCTGTGCCTAAAATGGCGCCGGCCGGAGAAGCCACACCTTCGAGTCACGTAGCCTTCGCGGTACTGCACAGGCACCTAGCGCATGCGCAGTGAGCTGCGGCGTGGCCGGCACGTGAACACTGGGGACTGACGAATCCAGTCGCCCAGGACCCTGCGTGATCATGACGCCGACCTATCATCGGCGGAGGCGGGGCCAGTCAGCACATAAGAGCAGAAAGCCTGCCGGGGTCGCCCCCTTCCTCTTCCTCATCTTTGTGCGCGCAATAAATTTTACCGCAGAAGGCTTCACTGGCGTCTGTGTCTTATTGCGGGATGATAAGAAACGTGGGCGCGACATATTAACACAAAAATCAACTTATATTCTGAATCACAAAAGATTTAAATATGTAACCAATCACCAGAAGAACAAAACCAAAATTGGGTGGAGGTCTTAAATCACTGATTTTCCTCCTATATTCTTGAGGTATGTATTGAAATTTTTAAGCATTTTTTTCTTTGATTTATACTAAACTGTTTAGAAATGGAAGTAGTATGGCATTATCTTCATTTGTACTAATGTCATACTTCATGATTTTGTCCACATTAAGATGGATGAGATCACTTTCTAAACATATAACCCACCGACTATATGACTTTAATACAAGGAAATAGTTGCTCTCCTGAAAAAAAAAAGTATTGTCTTTTCTAAAAATGGTATTCCCAAGCCACTTCTAGCCTAGAATATCAATGCTATTGTTTAAAATATTGCAGAAGTTAGTTTGGCTGAAACCAAAGAGCTATTACTTCAGTTCCTGGAGCAAGTAGAGGATATGTGGAACCACACGACTCACCCCAAAATATATCCTCTTGTCCTTAATTAACATATTGAACTGATTCTAGTTTTGTTTACAGCAATATGCTCAATGTAATACACTCATACTGTACAAAGGGCTCACTATTCTCCTAGAAAAAAATGAATGCACTTAAAGAGCTTTTAAGAATTTGCCATGGCAATGACCCAGAGCTGCTTGTGCCCAGGCAAGCTATCAAGACTTCCTTCCTTTGACCAATCACTTAGAATGATCTACTGATTTTCTTTTCTTTAACATCACAATGTACCCTTCTTGTTAAAGATATTAGAAAATGGAACCCCATCAAGTGACTGTTTCAAGTTCTAGATTCTAGCCTAGTCCACCATTCTTTGGCTGAGTCTCCATGAGTCTAAAACCTGGTTTCTGAAGAAAGGATTTTTGACTTACTTTATGTTGCATAATCCTGGAGCAATTTTCTTTTTCCATAAAGGGCTCTACATAGGTCACAAGAACCCAAACACTTGAACCATTATGCAACTCCCAGAGTTCAGTTTAGCAAGAAGTCACATTGGAATCAGAGCTGGGATTCAGTCCCAGAACTCTGATACAGAATTGTGGGCAGCTCAAGTGGTATCTTAACATGGTATAGCATAATATCTGCCTCTCCATGAACTTCTTGCAGTTCGTGTGTGTGTGTGTGTGTGTGTGTCCTTTTTTGCTTTCTTGGTTTTCATATTTCTCTTTATACTTTGTAGACGGATACAGCACAAATAAAACATACAGCACAATCCATTGCACATAGCTTTCCTGAACATTGGCAATAGAAATGTTCTGCCCAGATGTGGAAGAAAGAGCAATTCAAAGACTAGCATACAAACTTGTTGGCTAAGTTCACTGTTCATCAATTTTAAACCATTTTTCTACATAATTTGTCTTTTTGAAATAGTTCAGTCTTTATTTAGGAAATTGGCATTTTAAAAAATACTAATTGTTTTCTTTATTAATTTATTTTTTCTTAACTGATTAAAAATGCCAATTTTATGGCTTTTGCTATCGCATTGTCTCAAATATAATAATATCTTGCACTTAAAACCTCAGTGACAGCCTTAAAGAAAGTTCACAGCTAAAATTGAAACAAGTCCAAGAAATGACTACATTTGCATAACTTGATCTGAATTTGGAAAAAAAATTCTGAACTGAAGGCAACAACGGAAGCTTATCCAATCAGAATTTTACATGGATTTTCCATAGCCCTGCTAATGAATACTGACTCATGGGTCAGCTATGGTGAAAACGTAATGGAGCTCTAAGATAGGAAATGCATGAATCAGAGTGTGTTTAGTGGTGCTATTGCATCGGTATGAAAGCTGCATTAAGCATTAAGCATTCAGCTTCTCTGCAGCTGAGGGCAGTTCTACAGCACGATCCAGTATTGGGCATTCTTCAGTTTGTGGCTGGAACCAGAATGCCATTGAATTAAAGCCCCCTTTGCCACAAAGGATTTGAACTTGATATAAAATTGGGATTATTTGGGTCACTAGTTATGTTTAGCATGTTTCAAGATGGCAGGTAAGTTGTAACTGAATCCTTCCTAAGAACAGTATGGTTCTAAGGCAAAACTCAAGGTATTAGTATATTATTCCATAAAGTTGAAACTGTAGGATTCACTTTCTAAGCAGTTCTAAATGGCACTTTGTTTCCACTGATCTGAAGCAAGTCTGACTGAAGGCAGGCACTAGTGTCAAGCCCGCATTTTCTATTCTAAGTGACATAATCACTTATACTTCATAAAGTTTCACCTCTACAATGATAGCAGAATGCCATCTCCTTAAGGAAACATGTTTACCTGACTGAAATTCATAGATCAAATAGTTTTTTTAAATTTTATTTATATAATCATCGTTAGACAATTCAGAAAAAAATCTGCAAAGGTCTGCTTTATCCTCTTCCTGATGAATGACTGTATATTAAATCATACATATATATATAAACATATGTAAACATTATATTATTTATAAACATTATATTATATATAAACACATATATAATAGACATGTCACTATTTTTAACTACATTCCATAAATTGGTCAATCTTTCTAACACATCTACATCAATGAATAATAATAATAATATTAATAGCAGAGGTGATTTATTATATACTTACTTATGCTACAAAAATCTCTGTTAAACGTTTAACATTGATTATCTCACTTATTTCTTTTAATGGTACATATAAACGTCCCCATTTAACTTATGAGAGAACTGAGGCTCACATACTAGTACAGAGAAAATTCTAGTAAGTGGCAGAGCTAAGGTCTGAGTTACAATTAGTCCAATATCTGAGCCCATGTTTTCCAATTCTGTTGACAAGGGGGTTTGTATTATTTCATTCTCTTTTTTATGTATATTTACCTCATCAGGACAACTTGAGCTTTTAGCTCTATCTTTCAATAGTCACCGATTATCAGGATACTAGGCTTTTCTCTTTCTTCTTGGCAGTGATTTAGACTGTGACATGGGTGATCAGATAACTTATTATCCAAATCAGGACAACTCTGAGAGTGAAAACGACTGCTGTTACTCAGTGTGTTAAGATAACATGTGTAAACTGTAACTGTGCAGGCAGTCTTGGTCATGTAAACTGTCCACCAGGACACCCCTTGTCCATTCCTGGTGCACAGCCTTGAACCTCAGAGGTGAAAGGGAAGTATTTCTCCAATGATTCCTGACACTATGTTTATTTTCTTCTAATTTACTTTCTCAACAACTATTTTTTTCCTCTGGTATGAAGCAGAACACTTAATAAGCAATGGAAGAATAAAAGATTGTAGTATTCTTTTAGAGCTGATTAACACAGAAACAGGTATATTCATCCACTGTAGTTACGAGTATACAATGCTGTGTACCTTTAATGAGTCCTTTTTCTTGCAGAGTTTTCAGGGAAGGTCTCCGAGTAATAAACTTTTTTAATCTGCTTTTAACTCGGTTTCTGTCACTTGTATCAGATGCACTGTGATGCAGTCGAAACACTGGAAATTAAAAAAGAAAAAGTCAGAGGCTTTCTGTAAATTTCTCCTTTATTATGATTACTTTATGCAAATATTAATAGAAAACAGTAGTTATGGAACAACTACCTGAATTAATAGCTCAGGCCTTTCAGTCAAGACAGGGCATATGAGTAAAACTTTTTACTCTGAATGTATTAGTTCTGCTGCAACATGAATGTGCAATGAGAATGGTGTCAGTGCCAGGTATTCAGAGCTCTTTTCACCTTCAATTCCTAATATTTTTTATATTATAACCTTTATCTGGATAATTTCACCTGTGGGTTTGCAACATAAGATTCCAGTGAAGATAAAAAAAAGATGCATTTGAATTAGGGGAAAAACTTTAGCATTGTTCATTTCAATTAAGCCTGTATATATATATATGGTCACTGTATGACTGTAGGCATTTTCAAAGGCCTTGTTGCTTTGATAGTTCAGTATATCCTTTCATCTACAGTTTTATTCCCCAAATTCTCACCCCCACCCCCACCTTTTTTTTTTTAAACCACGACTGGGTGCAGCAGAAACCAGGAACCAGGAACTCCCCGAGTGTGTCATATATGTGTCAGGCAACTAATTGGTGGAACAGTTATCTTTATTTCTCAAGATTTGAATTAACAGGAAATCTGAATGGGGAATGCACATGGAATTCAAACCCAGGTGCTGCTCCTGAATAGGTCAAGCAGGCATACTGAAGAGGCATCTTAACCACTATGCCCGAATCTCTGCTTCTCAAGCTTTTAAATTCCTACATGATTTTTCTTCCTGAAGCAGGTATTTGTTACTTAGCTTGCTTATGTATAATTACCATCTCCAGGAAAAATTCAGAAACACAAACTTTTTTTCAAAGATTGATTTATTTATTACAAAGTCAGATATATAGAGAGGCGGAGAGACAGATGGGAAGATCTTCCATCTGTTGATTCACTCCCCAAGTGAGCCACAAAAGCTGGTGCTGTGCCGATCTGAAGCCAGGATGCAGGAACCTCTTCTGGGCCTCCCGCATGGGTGCAGGGTCCCAAGGCTTTGGGCCATCCTCGACTGCTGTCCCAGGCCACAAGCAGGGAGCTGGATGGGAAGTGGAGCTGCTGGGATTAGAACTGGTGCCCATATGGGATTCTGGCGCGTTCAAGGTGGGAACTTTTGCCGCTAGGCCACGCTGCCGGGCCCAGAAACACAAACTTTTCTTCCACATTTTCTCTATCTGGCTAGCCTCAATTTCTTATGCTAAGTTTTATGTTAGAAATCCAATGTGAGCCAAATTTATTTTAGAGCAAAATCTTCTGAATATCTTCTAGTCTCCATGCTACAGGCTGTGAATTTAACAATGAATTTGACATGAGTTTTCAACTTTCCTTAACTGCTGTCTACAATACATTCACGGTGTCTTAGGGATTACTCATGGCAAATTTTCTGTTCACAGATGATACAGATTATAACTGGGCCCTCTCTTAACAAAGTTTTGACAAACTGTAGATTTGGGTCACTTTATTAGGTAATATTCTATTTTAAAATAAGATCTGCTTTAACACTATAAGAAACAAAAGGCATTCATGGTTGCATTCTTTGTCCTAAAACTTTGAGCACAAGACAATGGTGAATTTGAGTGACCAAAATAGAGAATTAAAGTGAAGTGTGCAGGTGGAAAGGATAGGAGAAAATGTATTCTGCCTGCCTTCTGAGTGGGAGAAGAGTAGGTTTATTTATATTAAGTTCAAAATTTTGATTATCACATGGGATTATGTCCTACAAATATTTGAATTGGGACAATGCTTGCCACTTAAACTGATCTTCTACTACCTTAAAGCATAGCTTCCCAACTACTGAAATTGAAATTGTTTGATTTGTTTATTTTTATCTGACTTGAAAGTCAGAGAGACCACGGAACAGACAGGGAGAGATCTTTGTCAGTAGATTTACTCTTCAAACACCTGCAACATCAGAAGGGCTGGGCAAGGCCAAAGTCAAGATCCAGAAATTCAGTCTAGGTTTCCCACTTGGGTACTGGGGCCAAAGTACTTGAGTCATCATCTGCTCTCTCTCTCAATTTGCACAGTTAGCAGGAAGATGGTTTTGAAGCACAGGATAAAGGACTTGAACCAGGCACTCTGATATGGCATGTCATCATTTCGAGTGGCATTGTAATCACTGCAAATGACTACTCCTCAACTCTTGACATTTCTAAAATTTTACTTCATTATATAAGATGAACAAATTTCATGCATTTCACAATACAGACTTAGAGGCACACTGATACTTTCCAGTCTACTTACCCTCCTGCCCTGGTTCCTCACCTACCATCATCCTTTTTGAAAATTATTACTAAGACATGCTTTCCATTTACTTCATAATCACAGGCTGCACACTGCATTAGGTAAAGAATTCAACAAGCAGCAAATGGACAAATGCACTGTTCCTCAATAGGATAAGCAAAGGCTATTCACTAGATACTCAAACCTCAAAAATGTTAATTTTTGCTCATTGAGATGAAATTTTCTTGGACCCTGTACACTAAGTGCCACAGACAGGTAACACATATGGTATTTGTCTTTAGGGGACTGATCTTTATCACTACGTATAATGGTTTTTAGTTGTAAGCATTTTGTTGGAATAGGCAGGATTTCTTTTTGATGGCCAAGTAGTAGTCCATAGTGCATAGATTCCACATTTTCTTTATTTAAGTCATTGATTATTGAACATCTATGTTGATTCCCTGTCTTAGCTATTGTGAATTGAGCTGCAATAAACATGGGAAGTTAGATAACCCTCTCTCATGCTGATTTAATTTTTTTTTTTTTGGACAAATTCCCAGGAATGGGATAGCTGGGTCATATATCAGATATATTTTTCATATTTTTGAGGTTTTGCAGATAGATGGTAAAACCACTGACTATAATAGTGCTAAGTTGGCTGCCAATTTGGGTGCAAGTTTGAGTCCCAGATGCTTCACTCAATCCAGTTTCATGCTAATGTATTTAAAATAGCAGTAGAAGATTGCCCAAGTCCTTGGGCCCTTGTATCCACCTGAAGGATCTGCAAGTAGCTTCTGACTGCTGGCTTCCACTGGCTAATACTGGCCACTGCAGTTACTTGGTTAATGAACCAGGGGATAGAAAGTCTCTCTTTGCCTCTCCTCTCTTACTGTAACTTTGTTTTTCAAACAAATAAATAAATAAATCTTTTAAAAAATAATGATTGCCTTACATAACTGAAAAAGCTATACGGTTTTATAGGTATTCTTTTATTTGTGCTGTATCTGTCTACAAACAAAGTATAAAGAGAAATATGAAAACCAAGAAAGCCAAAAAGGACACACACACACACGAACTGCAAGAAGTTCATGGAGAGGCAGATATTATGCTATACCATGTTAAGATACCACTTGAGCTGCCCACAATTCTGTATCAGAGTTCTGGGACTGAATCCCAGCTCTGATTCCAATGTGACTTCTTGCTAAACTGAACTCTGGGAGTTGCATAATGGTTCAAGTGTTTGGGTTTTTGTGACCTATGTAGATGATTTAGATATCCCACTATCTCCACCTCTCTGTAGCTGTTATAATCACTTTGTATTAAAAGGAGAGATAGAGACAGAGATAGATAGATAGATATCAGATAGATAGACTGTCAAACAGAAAATTAAAAGATAAGTTCATTTTGTGCAAAAGTATTTTATACCATGCATATAATTGGTTTTCAAAAAGTTCATGGAAAATATATATAAGAAATTATGCCTTTTTACATTTTTACAGCAAAATCAACTTATATGTCAATTTCAATTTCTTCAAATTTTGAGTACCATATATGGTGTGTATAAGTGTGTGATCATATATCTACATCTAACACTTATTACAATAAATGAAATATAGAATTAACAAGTCTAATTACTAGAACATGAGGAGAGTGAATGGGCCCACAACTGAAACTGAGTTTGGAATTCACAGTGACAGATCAGTGCATCCCAGTTACTGCATCTGGAAGAATGACTTTCAAAGGCTTGGGAAAGTTTGAAAAGTTTGAAAAGTTTTCGGAAAGAATGCGTTCCAGAGGTTTCCAAAAATTTTCTGGAACCCAGGGTCATGAATTACAAATATGGAACCTTGAATTTTTGCATAGTCTTTGGCTGAGGGCAGTCTTGTCAATTTCTTTTTGTGGGTTTTACACATTTTCTATGTGTACACTAATTTCAGAAGCCCAGCATTAGACCTTGCTATTCAATGTGACGGCCATCTGTCTATTAGGGCTACTGAGCTCTGGAAATACAGCTTGTGTCATATATTACAATGATAAGGTGGAGGCTGGAGTGGTGGATCAGAGTTAAGCTAACACCTGCAATGCTAATTTCATATATGAATGTTTCTATGGTAGAAGAGTGAGTATCATGGATTAACTTACTCCAAGATTGTGTGACTGGAAGAATTATTCTAAGTATGTTCATGTTTTGCTAACATATAACATCCTACCAATTGATAACCAGGAGTGTATGATCTTCAATTGATGGCTGTAATCAATATTCCACACATTTAATTGCTAGTGTTAGATGCTAAAGTAACATTAAATATCCTTCACCAAACTGAAAGGAGCAAACTCAGTTTACAGCAGTAGATTGAGCTGCAGTCTGTAAGACCAGCACTCTATCTTGGGTGAACTATTAGGATCCCAGCTATTGCACCTCTGATGCAGCTCCTTACTCACACATGGGAAGGCAGCAGAAGATGGCCTAGGATGTTGTTCTAGACTACTGGCTATGACCTGGGCCAGCTCCACTTCTTGCAGACATTTGAGTGAACCAGCATAGAGATAATCTCACTTTTGCTCTTTTAATCTCTCTCCTCTCTCTCCCTGTCACTCTGCCTTTAAATAAATAAATATACTCACAGAATAATTACCTGAAGAAAATTTTGATCTCAAGTCCAACTTTGAAATGAAATAAAGTAATTCACTTAAATTTTTCACCAGGCTATCATACATAAAATTCTATCT